AGATGACATCAGTTGCTCTTCCCTTGTCCACTAATGTTGTAACCCCATCATGGAAAGCCATTCTTTAGCTGTAAGCAAACTGCCAGTTAGGCCATGTAGCTGATATCATGGCCCTGTCATTAGGCAAAAATGAGCTTTTGAAGTAGTTATAAAATACACTTCATTTACTTATTGAAGGGCAACGTGGCTGTAGAATAATACTAAATTATAACCATATCTTTATGACCCTGTTAGAGTCTGTGCTAGGTGAAGATCTTCCACACCCTGCATCCTAAGAGTATGTCCAGATAAAGAGCTAGAAGAGACAGAAGACCTAACCATTTGTCTCACATGGTAGCAATCCTGATGCTACCCTTGGGATACTGCAGTATGCTCGTGTTTCAAATCTAATGTAACTCCTGTTTTAATGCAATGGCTAAATAAGTCTGAAAAGGAGTCATTTCTCCCCATCTGATAAATGATGTGTATTAAGCTGGTCTCTCTGGAAGGAAGAGCCATGGCAGCTGCTCAGATTTCATCTTTGCACAGTGAAACAAGGCAGAAGATGGTGAGTGTTGGATGGGTTCCTTCTTACTGAAGAAAAGACACTGAGTTGATGGAGTTACTAATTTGTGTTACGCTCAGTGTCTGAATGGCAACCATGTTCTATGACTGTTCAGAGGTAGAAAAATCCCTGTCCGTGAGCGCAGGCAATCACTGGGGTTGAGGAGGAGCTACTGCGGTACATGATAATTGGTGTTAACATACACCAGTGAAGTGTATGAACACATACCAAGTGTCGTGTCATGTCATAAGACATGTCATTTTATCAGTGTCATGCCCATGGATTGACCCAATGGGAGAAGTAGCATGGCAATAGTGCCTACAGAAACAGCTAGATTCACCTAACTTGACTGGGAAAGAGCACCATTAGTGATGGTGAGATTAGGCACAGAAGACAGGTCCTGAGCCATGTGATCCCATCTCTAGACAAAAGGGTTAGTGGGGAAGACACCCCAGATGATTTTTTTTTTTTTCCCAATGACAGTACAGTTGTCATTCCTGAAAGACATGGTAGAAGCAGGGAGCATCTGGACCCCATCTGTGTGCCAGAACAACCTCCCACACTATGTTCTGTAGGAACCACAAGAGGTGAGAATAACTTCAGTTGTCCCTGGCATAACTTCAGAGAGGTAGTACATAGAGTTTCTAAGTGTTAGTCACTGAAGGCAAAAAAAATGCTAAATGCTAAATCCTTGCATGTTTCTATGGCCCCTGTGTTCAAAAAAATCTTAAAAGGGTCTCACTGTCTTACTGAAAATGTCTACTGCGCTATATCCTGATAATATGAAATTACTTTTCCTGCTCTCCTGGAGCTGTACCATTGAAGTCCAACATCACCAGCACAGCAGACATTGAAGTTAAGTTGTAAGAGACTGGGACATACATTTCACAGTGCTATCATGTGAGAAGTCCGCAAGGCAGTAAATGAACTTTCTGAGAACAGCGATGTATCATTTCCAGACCAGTGACCTGGTAGAGTGCTTTAGAAACAAATGCTGAAAAAGTGGTTTGGGTGGGACATAAAAAACCTGTGTCTGAGTACTGCAGTCATTCCTGTTTGCAATGTGGGAAATCCCACAGACCTCCATCAGCTTCTCACCATTTCAGCTGCTGCATAACGACAGTCCTGTGATGCATGGAGTTTATTGAAAGGAAATGACAAAAAGCAACTTTCGATTTCATGAAGTGTTGTTGTGTGCATTTCTGACAAGAGAACATTGCCAAATAGGCCTGAGGACGTTACAAAAATGTTCAACGCAATCAGCAGAAATGCTGCAGTGTGAAATACCGCTTTGCCTGGAAATCAGCTCCTCCTGTTTGCCAGTCTCTTCACTGCGGTCTTCCTTCTTACTCAGTAAAAGCTCATGTCTCATTGAAAAGTGTCTAGTGAAGTGGTGGAAAGAATTGACCCCTTGGATTATTCCTGGATTATGTGGTTAAAGGAGACAATCCTGCAGAGCATCACTTGGATATAATTAGCACCTGCCCAAGGGAAACAGGTGAGGAGTCATTGGTCCACCTGGCTCCAAACCCCATACAGGTGGAGAAAAGCTTTTTTCCCTGAGAAGATGACTTATTATTTCAGCCTTTTGCAAATTTCTTTTCATAGCCTGAGGAGCCGCATAGAATGTACCTCAATTATGGATATTGTGCGATAAAATGATTTTGGGCATCAGGAGCTGCATAGATTCAAATGGCCCTCACTGAGAAAGGAATAGACACCATCAGAGCCTCAACAAGTGACTGGTGGAGTCTTGTTCAGTATCAAGACCAGACAGGACAAACCTGGTTCTGCACTAACTTTCGTTCTGTTAGTGCTATATTTCAATATGATGCTTATCTAACGCTGTGAATTGATGGGACATTTGAATTACTGGAAGCGTGACCACCAATCTCAAGAAAGGTTGTTGACAGATCTTGTCCTGGTCTCATGGTTAATTCCTGCTTTGCCCCCCTTCTCTTGGAAAGGATTGAATCATATGTTTGGGTGTGACAAGACAACAGCTGCCTTCCAGAAGTTCATGATCCATGTACTGAAACTTGTGCAATACACGTGGCCCTATTAGGCAATGTTGCAAGATATTCCTGATGATTTGTCACCTAGCCTGTACAGGCAGGAGTATGTGACGAGGCCCTAATAGCTAGGCTGAGTTGTCAAGAATGAGCAAGCGTACAGATAGTGGAGTATGCCAAAATCACAACTGCAATCATGCTCTTCAGATGGGACTCTCAAGATATCGTGATAAAATCGACCTTCCATGTTGCTCCCCTGCCATCTTAATCTCTGCCCTCATCATAATAACATACCCATGCAATCTTCTTTCTTTTATAAAACTATAAACTACTTGCTTTTTCTGGCTTAAGTCACCACCCCCCCAAACTGATGGAGACAGCTAGTTTCTGGTGCCATCTGTCCTAACTGGAACATGGCAGCTGAGCCCAGCTGCTCCTGCCTGCATTGGGATGAAACGTAAGCCATACACCTGGAAACTGTCCTCATGGTATGCCATTGGGCTGTGCACGATCCAAAACCTTGTTGAAATCTTCAGTTGTGGTCCCTAACCTTAGCACTGGTCCTAAGCTTCATGATAGCATGTAAACCTATAGATCTCAGAGCCTCCTGAGTAACCGTAAGTGCTCCAAATCTACAGTTAAGAGACCTCATGTCCTCTTGGTAGGTCTCACAGGAGTCTGTGTCAAAGGTTTAGAGCTCAGCAGCCCTTATCCTATAGCTAGCCATAAGCTACACAGCCTTCTTGGTAGCAGCCCTCATAACCTTGAGGATCATTGAAATTGGTAATAAGCCCCGTAGCCCTTGACAATCTGAAGTCTTACTTTAGTGCTAACTGTTGTTTTGCTTATAGACTCAACCCTGTAGCCCAGGGATATTTGCCCATCCAGGAACACTTAATAAGCCATTCCCCCATCTTGGTATTAGCCCGAAGCCTGTCCTGGATCTAGCAGTGCTGATATGTGAGGGGAACAGTGAGATTTTGTGGCTTTTTGGAAGGTTCCTGTGGAATGAGTGTGCATGTGGGTTTGGAGGGAGGGCGGTGTTAGGGAATCTCAGTGCAGATTTTGGAGAACTGAGTGGAGATCCCAGGGGAGCCCTGGTTGCCCCTCCACTTCCTCTGCAGCCTGGCAGCGATGCCCACCATCCTACACCGCTGTGCGCTGTGGGAACGGTTGGGGGTTCCCTGCCTCCCCTGGCAAAGGCAAAGCGAGCTGCAGCAGGACCTTTCTGCTGCTGCTGGGGGTCTGCCACAGCAGGCGAGAGACCGTGCTTAAAGCAAGCTCTGCTTTCCTGGGCTCTTCCATCACGTTAGAGGGTCTGAGCTAATAACCTAGAGCAGACCCGATTACTTGTCTTAGGAACAATGCCAGCGGGCAATGACAGTACTGCAGTGTTTCTCAGGCTTTTATTGCCACAACAATGCTTAAACTGTGATGTGCAGCACCCCTGGTGCTTGTCCTGGATTGTGTTGGGTCCCACATACACTGTTGACAGTCATTAGCTTTTCCTAAGTTGTGTCCTTAAGAAAGAGAACTGTTTTGTTTGGGGATTTTTTTTTTCCTGTGCTTAAGGATCCACGTGATCCAATCTTTTTTTGGGTTTGATCCTGGAAGTCTGGGAGTACTTGAGAGCCAATCGAGCAAAGCACTTCATCACACGCTTAACCTGAAGCACTCAGCCCTCTGTTCGGTGAGGCTCCTCACGTGCTCGAGGGCTTCGCGGAGTTCTTAGCGCCTTGGGACGAAAGCTCATTACGCAGCACTTCACCTCCCCAACCAGCTGAGTGTGATTCTTGGCCCTGGTGTGGCTCTGGGAAGTGAGCCATCCTTCTGGTTAGGCAATTGGCAAAGCTGCCAGTCTGCTCAGCTGCTATCCCTTCCAGGAACTGGTGTCTCTGGGGAAAAAGAGCGTTAATTCTTAATTATTCTGCATTTCACTGTTAGTTTTCCTTAATTCATAATGTCATGACTGCTGTCTCCCTCTTGATTCAGGAAACTTTGCTGGCTATAACTGTGGTGACTGCAAATTTGGCTGGACCGGCCCCAACTGCAACGTGAGGAAGCCACCAGTTGTCAGGAAGGATGTCCACTCCCTGACGGCAGAGGAAAGAGAGCAGTTCTTCGATGCTCTAGACCGTGCGAAGACAACCATTCACCCAGACTATGTAATTGCAACTCAGCACTGGTTAAGTCTGCTTGGCCCCACCGGAGAGGAACCGCAAATTGCCAACTGTAGTATTTATAACTACTTCGTTTGGCTCCATTACTACTCAGTCAGAGACACGCTATTAGGTTAGTGCTTTTCTTATCCAAGGGGCTCTGCAGGTAACGGAAAGGGTGAAAAGTGTCATTGCTGAACACAGGCAAGGATGCTTAGCACAGCTGCGTTACTTCATCAAGCAGAGAGTCCCAGTAGGAGCAGATCTGTGGAGTGAAACAGTTGGTGCTGAGGAGCCGGTGGCCACTCGCAGTTGAGGGAGGTCTGCTTCAGACCTGCTGTGGTCCAGTGCCCAGGACCAAACACCCTATGGTGGCTGGAGGACACCAGCTGCAGTCCTGGTGCATCTTCTCTCTGACAGGGAGGCAGTTCGCAGGCTCCACCATTGAGTGAAGTGTGGTCAGGCAGTGACTGACTTCAAAACGATGTTCCTAGTCCACAGGACAAGGTAGATGCAGCAGTAGTGGGAAAGGGACTTTGCAGTGGTGAAGGCAGAGACCATGCAGAGGCGTTGGGGACCAGGGTGCTATCGCTTTTTGTGGCTTCCAGCAAGTCACTAAGGATGGGATTTGCCTGACTAACCACAGCCAGCTTTTAAAACCAAACCAGGTTGGAGGTTTGGGTAACTAACCCACGCTTTCTCCCAAATCCCAAATGATTCCTAGTCTTCATTGCTCTTCTAGACAGAAGTACCCATTTTGCAAAGCCCAACTCTTGCAGGAGGAGGCAGCAGTATGGCAAGCTGAACAGTCCATCTCTACCTCCTTGCCAGATGTATCTGCTACCCTGCAGTGGGTTTTCTTCAGTCTGTCTCCCCTTCTGACACGGTTCCATTTTGCAGGGCTGAAAGAAGCGGTCTTTGACCTAGCGAGAGCAAAGTTCCTTCACGGGACAGGATAG